GCTGATGCCTTTGGAGATAGTGATGGCTCTCCTGAGGTAGGGACGCATTTTAGGTTATCTCGTGTTTTTAGTCCCAAAGAAGCCATTCTGCCATTTGTTTCTTACTTTATTCAGTTGCATTGCTCTTTTGTCATGGGTTTTCATAAGACATACTCTTTAATAGTGTTCTTAAAAGTTCGCGGTGATCTCTTAAGGATTTACATTTCAGCTTTTGGTCATATTTGTATTTGGGAATCTTATCTCATGTTGAAACTAATGTCTACCTGCTAACCGGTTGCCCCTTTTGCTTTTGAGAGGAAACTTCTTTGAATTTAGTCCATTGTACCCTGTCCATGGTGCTGAACTCCATTTGGTCTAATGATGCATTTTCAGGACTAATTTACCACTTTATTTTATTCTGTTTCCATTTTCTCCTTCCTGAGTTTTGTTTAAGTGAATTTCTTTAGATATTAGATTTTGACTAAAATATTTAGAAATGCAATATAGTACCATTTTTTCAAGAATATGTTCTTGCTGAAAAGCCCTCTCTCTCCACCACCTGTTACATGTATTTATTGATTTCTGATAACTTGGCTGAGGTGTTTGATGGTGCAGTTGCCATCCCCAGCGCTTTTCTCCCTCCTAATTACGCAGTGACTTTAAGTTTGTGTCCTCTCACAATGTAATCACATTGTCTGCTGACCAGATTTGGAGGAAAAGTCCATCAGACTTTGCTGTTGTGTTTGATCATGTAGAGGAGTCCCGTAGAAGTAGGCCCCAATATATCATAGCTATTTTGATTAACCACTCTTCCTGGTTTATTTGACTACAGCTGATTTTAAACAGGCATTTGAAGAAGATGGTCTTTGGAAGTACCATCTGTGTTGGTAGCATTTCACTGTCACTATTAATTTACCTTCCACATGAACCCTTAGATCAAAAATGTTTCAATTCAAGTGTTTTGATAACATTTTGGGCAGTCCACATCTGCTTGTCAGAGGATACGTTGTTAAATCACTGGACATTTTTTATTGACATTAAGTTGTCCCTCTCATTGCTTGATTTTGGTCACTGATCTTCATCAGTGCCCCATGGTGAAATGTGTCTTATTTAATTACATCAGTAGCTTTTTTAAACATAAGTCTGTGGATATTCTCATTTCTCATTTTTCCAGGTCAATTCCATTCTGGAATTGACCTGGAAAAGTCAGACTAGTGGTCAGACTAGTGAGGACTACTCAGACTGATGCGTTGAGAACTGATGAAGCCGCTTGGATAAGAGGCGAAACGTCTTCTAGTCAAAATCAGAGTCCAGTTGCCTACGATTTAATTGTTGCCTTTTGTAAACATGCAATATCATCTGCAGACAGACATTAAAACTAATCAAACAGTGTATGATCAAATCTGAGGTACTTTTTCCATCAGAGTATGAAATAACTGGATTATGTCCTCAGAAAAATGTGTCTTACAGATTTGGCTTCATACTGTTGCAGAACAGTACTGTTTTGGCAGCAGTGTAAATGCAAAACATTACACTGATGGTGAGTTTGTTACATTCCAACTCAAAGCACTTACATGTAGGATTTGAGATTTCACCCAACCCTTGAAGAGTAGCTTTGTGGCAGCAGTTGCATATAGTTCAGACCTGAATGTATGATGATTAAAGTTGTCCTCCCTCACTTTATAATCAATGTTGTTTGCTGACCTCTTCTTAAGTCTTGGCTACTTCATTCTTGACTTACTGGGCCAATTTAAGAATAACAAAAGCCTTTTTTGGCTGGCAAATATTTCATTGAGTATAGAAATATTAAGCAAGCACATCACTTATTTGTGCAGTGGCTTTGAAATGTGTCAGGGTAACACTGTCTTATGTTGTCAAGTGATGTCCTGTGGGTTTGCGTCCATACTGACTTAGGATGAAATGTTAGCTATAGGAGCATAGCTGTACGGATTAGTTGGTCTCTTCTGTCTGACAGTACAGTGGGTTGATTATGTTTTCTAATCATTCCAGAACTCAACTTTAACTTTGTAACATTGTGCTGTAGACACAGTTAACCATGCAACTGGTCTGCATTTGTACTCTCAGTTGAAATGTTTGTCTTCCATTTTTACGTTTCAAACAAGTGGAATGGTGATGGCCTTAGGCTGCTTTGGAGCCTTTGCTTTTGCTGATTGTCTGATTGAGTGACTGGGTGAACTTTAACAACAAAAAACTCCAGACTGCTGTTTAAAACTTGATCACAACTTAAACATAACAAAATTTGTCAGAAATTGCTCTTTATTAGAAATGCATGTTGCATTTTATTTTCTGTTGGCAAATAGCATTGGGTCATATAAAATAAGCTGATTGTCTCTGTGCTCATTGAGACACAACATGACAATCTTGATGAAAAGTGTGGATCACTGAATGGCACCAGTGCTGTCATAGTATTGTCTTAGTTTAGGGTGGAAGTTTTGAAAAATGTTAAGTTATGTTAGACCATCTACCATCTATTTGGGAGATTCTTGTCAACTTTTTACACAGCAACATTCTAACAGAATAATAAACATGATTTGACTGTGATAAGAATACTGTTTTTGTGTGTTTTTAGTTAATCTGGATGGTCTACTTAACATGTTAAGATAAATTATTTAAATGTTCTTCAGCTGGTTATGTTTAGCCTGGCACAATACTGCAGAGGGGTATTTGGTTGTTAGATTTAAATTTTGGTATTTTTGATGGACTTTAAAGATATATGTTTCATAGCTTCAGTAGCTTCAACTTAAATCTTTTTTATTACACATATTAAAAATCCAGCGAATATTGAGTATATGAGCACTTTCAAACAATATTTCCACTACAGAAATGCTGGGGTTATTTGTCTCTATATTGCTCTTTTATGAACTCTTGTGGCACTTCTTTGTACCGACATGTGATGCTAGGTGGATTCATGCTGGTCTTTAATCTGGAAGTCTTCTAAAGAGATGTTTTTTGTTACATTTTTTTAATCAGTCTCTGTGCACATATCTATATGTGAACTAAACTGTGATAGATTATTTATTTTTTAATGATTAATCAAATACAACAATTAATACTGTGGAGCACAGAGACTTTTGCAGGAGAGCTGAATTGTTTTACAGGCAGCTTGTGAAGAATGCAATGCAGCAAAATTTACTATACTGACTATAGTCCATACATAACACTGGAGCCTCAACATATAAAGCAATCACAGCAGTTCCATGGTCAATAATTTTTAGTAAATACTCCTATTACACATTCTATACTCAATTGTAGATTTAATAAACACAAAGTGGCTGAATAACAATAGGTTTGACATGCTATAGACAGTAAAGTTGTCAGTTTGTTGTAGTTGGCAGTGCTATATCTGATTGAAACTCTTGGTGTCACTGTGCACCAACAAAGGCCGAGAGTATCCCCAGCTTCATCCATTTTTTTCCACCATTGCAGAGCGTTATTGTGGTGTGGTGTCTGTGGGTTAAGGACGATACAAAAGGCCTACTTTGTGAATGATATTCGAATAGATAATTACAACGAGGAATACAACCGTCTTTGATCACTCTGAAATATTTGGTCAGGGAAGGATGAACGCCTGGTCAATGATGGGAAATACAGTGCGCAGAGGATTTTCTATGAAACCCTATTGTGTTGTTTTTCTTTTCATCGGGCTGCATGTCGCCTATGGAGACGTGAGCTACTCTATCGCAGAGGAGATGAAACGCGGGTCTGTGATTGGAAATATAGCCAAAGATCTCGGCCTCGGGACTTCCACTCTTTCCTCGCGTAAAGCTCGCATTGACACGGACGGGAATGGCAAGCGGTATTGTGATATTAATCTGAGCACCGGAGAGTTGTTTGTTACTGACAGGATCGACAGGGAAGGTCTTTGTGGTAAGAAGGCTACTTGCGTTTTTAAAGAGGAGCTTGTTCTGGAAAACCCTTTAGAGCTTCACCGTGTCAGCATTCATGTGCAAGATATAAACGACAACGCCCCACAGTTTAGTGAAGACTTGATAACATTTGAAATAAGAGAATCGGCAGTCAAAGGAGCGAGATTCTTACTCACTGAAGCCCATGATGCAGATATTGGTACAAATGATGTACAGCGCTACGATTTACAAAATAACGAGCATTTTACCATTAATACAGATACAGAAGGTGGGCGAAAACACTCCGCATTGGTTTTGGTGAAAGAATTAGACCGAGAGCAAGAGAATGATCTAAAATTAGCGCTTACAGCTCTCGATGGTGGATCTCCACAGAAATCAGGTACTGCAGTCATACACGTCACTGTGCTGGATGCTAATGATAACGCCCCAGTGTTCAGCCAGGCCGTTTATGAAGCCAGTCTGCCCGAAAACTCTCCTCCAGATACTGTTGTTGTTACAGTGAGCGCTACTGATGCAGATGAGGGACCCAATGGGGATATTACGTACAATTTTGATCATGTGTCTAACGAGCATGTAACTTTATTCTCACTTGATCATAAGACAGGAGAGATAAGAGTCGCCGGCTCAATCGATTATGAGACTGAATCCACCACTGAACTGCGAATAAGAGCAAAAGACGGACCAGGTCTTACCTCGTATTGTACAGTAATTATAGATATAACAGATGTTAATGACAACCCACCTCTTATCAGTTTGAAATCACTGACTAACCCCATACCTGAGAATGTGTCACCTGGTACAGAGGTGGGCATCATTAACGTGCAGGATAGAGACTCTGAGAATAACAGACAGGTCCGCTGCTC